CCTAAACCCTCGACCCCCAAACCCCTACTTGGAACCCCAAACGCTGAACCAAACCCCCTTAAACTGGGGGCTTCTGAAGGGCGGCTGAAATTGGGAGTCAAGGGGCCGTCAGGGCCCGGTACTGCTGCGACCCGCGGGAGGTCAAGGGGGCGAAGCCCGTCATGAAGAAGTGCAAGCCTAGGGACGCTTTCTCGGGCTTTAGAGGATGAAGGGCTTTTGCAGGTTTAGAGGTTAGTTCTGGCGTCGTAGAGCTTTGGATTTTGCGGACTTTGGGGGGGGGGGGAGCATACGCACCGTTTAGAGCTACTCCATGACGGGTGACAGCGTATGCGCTTTCATTTGCAGTCTGAGCCACGCGGGAAGGGGACCAGGTTCACTGCGATCTTGCGCAGGTCGCAGTTCAGCCTGGGACACGACTGCTGGTCAAAGTAAGACTCAAAAGACGCTGCGGTAAACAGAAAGAGAGCCAGAGAGAGAAAGAGAGAAAGAGAGAGCCTGAGAGGGGGAGGGAGAGAGAGCGTGCGGGAAACAGAGAGAGAGAGAGAGGGAGAGATGGAGGGAGAGAAAGGAAGGAAGGAAGAAAGAAAGAAACAAAAAGAGAAAGAAATGAAGAAAGAGAAAGAAACCAAAACTAGCCAAAACCCTCAAACCCAAGAATAAAACCCACGAAGCAAGAGGCTGTCCGGGGAAGCGCAGGCAGCATGTCACGCCGCTCATGGCCGCGGAGACCAAGTGGTTCAGGTCACCATACGTCGGCGTCGTCAACTTCCTCACCAGCCAGAAGCCCCAATCCCCCCATCGGGTTTGATGTGCATGACAGGCCCCTTTTGGGTACCCTCACCTCTCCCAAGAACAGATCTGAACCCACCCAACAAAGGTGAATTAAACGAGTCCCCCCCCAGAACAGTTGAGCCGAGCTGGAAGCTCTGACTATTCACTCAAGAGGTACTGCTACGATGATGGGCCCATGGAAACCTGTGAGTCGTCCTTCTCAGCTTGGGGACCATCATCGCCATAGCCATCACGACCCCGTGCCACCCCTCCCCCCCCCAATGTTGACCGAACTTCTGCAAGCCCTAGGACCTTCCAAGCACCCCAAGGTTTTAGTTGCCGGGGCGCAACGTCCGAAAGCAAATGTCGTAGAGCGCTTCGTTGTCCTCCATGGCTTGTAGAATCCAAGCACATGCAAATAAGTTCGAAACTTTGCTTCAAGCGCCCATGGGGCGTTCAAATGGTGCTGGGCGTCTTGCTTGCATCTGGCGTGGAAGTTGACATCATACTTGCCGGAACCGCCATCTGCTCCCGAGCCCTAACCCTCCTGACCCATCCCAACCTCTGTACTAATAAAGCCAACATGCCCCTGCTAGGTCAGGGCGAGGTATGACGCAACCTGCTTCGAAACAATCCTTCTGGCTATGGGGTGAAGTGTAGTGCTTTGGGGATTTGGGGCAAGCGCAAGCTTTAGTGCTCTGGGGGTTCACGGATCAGCGGGTGTCAAGGAATGCTTTCCGCGTTGGGGCAGGCAAGTGGCCAGCAGGAAGGACTCATCGGAGTTCTCCACAAGCTGGTGGAAGCTCAGGACAGCATTGTACGGCTCGACCACGGTGTCCGAGACCTTCGGCGAAGGGATCACGGAGAAGGTCTCCATGATGCGGTCCGGGTACCTTCGCTAGTGTGAAGCTGGTCATGACGCTTCTGAAACACATAGCCCTCGAAACCGTAAAAGAACCCCTGAACCAGGAGGCGAGCTTCACTCCTAGATAGAAGCTCTAATGATTAATGCCATTCGAGAGGCTCCTCACGCACCTGACGTCAAGGTTCAGGGGTCGTGGGGTTGTCTGGTACTACCAAAAGATTCAGAAAGCAAACTGCCCACGGTTTTCAAATATACAAGTAGGTCCGTAACTTGGGTGCGGGTCTTCGACGCCTGCACCGCGAACTGTTTGCTGCCACTTGCCCCGCTTGCCCCACTTGCTCTGGTCCCTTGGCGGAAAACGTTATGATATGAGCATGGGGCAAGCTGAGGCGCGGAGGGGGAAAGGGTGGGGAAAAGGACGGGGGAAAGGGTGGGGCGGGCAAAGGGCGGGGGGAGGGGGAGGGGAAGGAGGAGGGAATGAGGGGGCAGATCTGCAGGGGCAAGTGAGTCAAGTGGGGCAAGTGGTGCAATAACAAATAGCTCTTCCGGGCCACCAAGTGGGCAAGTGAGGCAACTGGCGCAACATCAACCAGCTCTTCGGAAAAGCAAGTGGGGGCAAGTGAGGCAAGTGGGGCAACAATGTAACAGGGGGCCCGCCTTGGAGATGAGAAGGGTCCCCATGCCGGCGCCGGTGCCTCCTCCCAAAGAGTGGCAGAGCTGGAAGCCCTGGAGGCAGTCGCAGCCTGAAGGATGGGCACAGCACGCTCCCTTCAAGGAGAGTCTAAGGAGAGAGGATCGATATCCCCCAACCCAAACCTGTTCAAAGGAATGGGTCAGACCCCTAGGCTTTGAAGGAAAGTGTCAAAGACAACCTACGCCATCGTAGAAGACAGGAACAACAACCCTAGGCTCTGTGAGCCCGGCCTTCAGGTTTGGGGCTCAGCCTAGCCCAGCATCCCGCTTCGAGGCTCCTTGCTTCAGCTTTTCGAGAAACAACAGTCAGGCTGAGGAGCACTGACTTTGAACCCTAAACCCTAAACCCTAAACCTTAAACCCTAAAACCCTAAAACCCTAAAACCCTAAACCCCTAAACCCCTAAAACCCTAAAAGCCCAAAACCCTGAAACCCTGAAACCCTGAAACCCTGAAACCCTCAACCCTGAACCCCTACTTTGCGAGAATGGGCTGCCTTCCGCCTCCTTGCGCACCACATCCAACACCGAGTCGATGAGTTCGGCGCCCTCGGCTGCGAGGCAAGTGGCTCCTTAACCTACTGGGATTTCGGGCTTGGGGTATTAGAGGTTACCTACACCACCTGAGAACTTAGGGTTTACGGTCAAGGACTTCAGGGTGTAGGGCGGCAGGGCTGCGGCCTCGCAACGAACTTAGGACTGATTCTTGGGCGATGTCTAAAGATATCGATATCTACATTTGTTTTTGTCTTCTGGGATTTGTGCAGAAAGGAGGACGTATTAGAAAGTGTACGAGAAGGTGCATCAGTAGCAACAAACAGCAGCCCACTCCGATGCAAGCTCAGCTCGCGGCTTCTGTGTAGTGACCTCAGGGTTTAGGGTTTAGGGTTTAGGGTTTGGGGTTTAGGGTTTGGGGTTTGGGGTTTTGGGGTTTAGGGCTTAGGGTCCCAAACAGATGTGATTGTCAATGCTGGAAATTGCCAGCAGCACTGACAACCGAGCGCCGGGCCCTTCGCCCAGTTGTTGCCGGCTCCTCAGGCGGCGTACACGTGCATGCGGCGAGAGTGCTTCCGCGGGCTGTCCGTTGGACTGTTGTTCCCCGTCCTGTCTGTCCAAAGACGAAGTTGTCCGGACGGAAGAGCTGGCCAAATGGCCCCGCGCGAACGGAGTCCATGGTTCCTCGGGACAGCATGGGCAACGCAGTTCGAAGGCAGAGCAAGAACTGCTTGCGAACGGTAAAGCCGTTGGTACAGCCATCGCTCAACTTCGACAGAGCCTTTCCACACAAATCCCCGAGGCCTGGCTCAAGATCCATCAGGATCGCGCGGGGAACGTAGCGTCCTCCAGTCGCCTCGTTGAAGTACACCTCAGCTGTCCCACCAAGCGGGCCGCCGATCATGTGCTGGATGTGCACACATGCACATGTACAAATGCTCCAAGGACTCTAGGACCATGCAGCGCAGGCACGTTGATTCGCTCCAGCTGCAGATCAGAGTCTCCATGGTACGTGCCTTCGGAAGAGTGTTCTATACGAAATTTCAAAAAATTGAAACAGAACGACCTAAATTGTCGATCGGTCTTTCTAGTTTATAAAGCACGATTTAGTGAAAGTGAGACTGGCATGAATCTTAGGGGAAAATGACATCGCCAAGAACCCCACAAAGAAGTTTGTTCGTTCGAGGTCACAGGTCTTACGGCTTCAACAGCGACCTCGACTCGAAGAATCAGAGCCCGTCGAAACGCTTCTGCTCAGAGCTCGCTTGTGTTTTGGAGGCTCTCGGCTGCGCCTGTGGGATCGATTCCGTGCTCGTCGGCGATCACCTGCGAGTCTCAAGGCTGCCTCTCGCTACCCTAATATCGGGGGCAGAGGGTTTCGGGAGTTACCCTAAACCCTAAACCCTAAACCCTGTATAGGGACCACAAGGGGATTATACGACGAGTACTTCTTCCGACCACTACCTTATAATGCATGGCCTCCCAGAACTTGGCCCCGATCTGGTTGCCGCCTCGGTCAGGAAATAAAAAAGAGGGAGGACCCCCCAAAGGGTTTAGGGTTTAGGGTTTAGGGTTTGGGGTTTAGGGTTTAGGGTTTGGGGTTTAGGGTTCAGGGTTCAGGGTTTAGGGTTTGAGACTGTGGGGCTTGGGCATTCTATGTGCCGCTAGCCATAGCAGAAGTCAGCCCGCAAATGTTGTGTCATCCCCGGTACGAATCCCGAACATTCAGCACATAGGCACATAGACAGATTTTCGTTGAAAATTCAGACCTGATAAGTCCCGAATAGCGTTTAGGGTTTAGGGCCAAGGCGCACTGACCACCCTGGACGTGCACGAGCTCACGCATGGCTGCAAGAAGCACGAGGCGATTGAGCACAGGTGTCGCTTGAAATTGCGGAGGCGCTGCGGCGAAGAGGCAAAGTCGCTACAACACAGAACACGCACATTCGACAAAGAACGCCGAAGAGTCCGTGCGAGTCATTGCAGATTTCTTTGGATCATCATCCACCCAACTGTGAAAAGTTGGTACGACTTCATGCTCGACCTGCCTTCAAGATTTTCTTGAAAGCCTGCAAGGAATGAATTCCCGACAGCGCCCTCTTGTGGCATGTGGAGGTCGTCAAGGTCATCACCGGTCTGAAAAGTACGGTACGAGCATGGGTCTGCGTCAATTCACGCTTATCCATCGTACTCGCCCTCCTCCTCGTCGAACTCACCTGCAAGACATAGCAACTCTGGCTTGTTCTTGTGCCTAAGAAGAGTAGGGGTGGGCATGGGGGAGCGGGGGGCTTGCTGGGAGCACCACACATCAAGACAACACCGGGGTGTAGGGGTTTCTTGAATTGGGCTTCTATGTTTTGGTGGTTTCTCGAATTTCCTGCATTTCTAGGGCTTTTCTACGATTCCGAGTTTTTCTCGGGCAAGTTTACAGGGTTTCCAGGGTTTAGGGTCAGCATCCAGCCCCGCCTTCCTCCTCGGCAGTGGCGTCCTGGCACAGGGAGACTCTAAGCCACGGCTCTTGGGCTTCGGTTTTAGTTTCGGTTTTGGGGCTCAGGGTTTATGTAGGCTTTTGGGGTTTATATATTAGGGACTCGGGTGTACATGTAAGGTTTAGGGTTTTATGTAGGGTTTAGGGCTTGTTGGAGCTTTTTTGAATGAAGGAACTGGGCTGCAGGTACACGAACACGAAAAGCAAGTATGCAAATGGGTTTACCCTTCGAGGTCTCAGCTGGCTGCAGCACCCTCAACCCTAAACCCTCAACCCTCAACCCTCAACGCTGCGGCCTGGTACTGCTGGTACTCCGACACCAGGTCATTCATGTTCGACTCTGCCTCGGTAAACTCCATCTCATCCATGCCTGCCGGCACGACGGAAACGGCGGCTCCCCCAACCCTGAAAACCTGTTTTGGGGGGCTTCGGATCCTAAACCCTGAGCCCTAGACCCTACATGACCCCAAACTACCCAAAAAGACCCTGAACAACCCCAAAATAACCCCAAAAACCGCACATGACGCCAAATTACCCCGCCCCAAAACCATGAACAACCCAACAAAACCCAAAAGAACATTTGGCATCCAAGTCAGGGCCTTCGCCGGTGTACCAGTGCAGGAAGGCTTTGCGGCGGAACATGGCAGTGAAGTACTCAGCCACCCTGCTCAGCATTTTCTACGGGTTTAGGGTTTAGGGTTTAGGGATATGGGGTGCTACTAAGCGTCTCCATCTCCACCGAGTCACTTGGGTTCCAAGAGACAGCTACGAGATCCGCCAAGCCTACTTTCATCTGCAGCATTCCGTAGCTTAGGTACGGCATACGTGAGTTTTGCAGGGGTGCTAAGGGATAACGGGGTCACTTTCCGTGCTTGGGGGCCCTACAGCGTTATTATAGCAACCCCTAGTTGGGAACCCCATATATATTGGAGAGTGTTTCATTTGGCTGCGAAGAAGGTAGTGCCTCAACCCTTAAACCGTAACCCCAACCCTTACACCCCTAAACTCTAAACCCCCGCACCTCTTGAACATCTCCTGGATGGCAGTGGAATTTCCCGCGAAGGCAACAGCCATCTTGAGACCTGAACATGTCGGGTTTAGGGTTTGGATGCCCCTCGCGCAGGAAAGTGGCGCAGGTTGGAGTCCCCAAGGCCTACTGCCCTCTTCATGAGGCTCCTCAGGGCTCCAGCACCCTTCAAACCTCTGTGAACTCAACCCTGAACCCTAGACCCTGAACCCTAAGCCCTAAACGGCGTGACATGCTCTATGCCCTAAACCCCTTAACCCTAAAACTCCAAACCCAAGCCTACAACCCTAAAACTTTTTATATAAATCCCAAGCCCCAAGAACAAAAGGAGGTTGAGGACTCAGGGTTCAGGCGAAACGGTTCCCAGCAGCCGAAAAAAGAAAAAAAGTGCCCTCTTTTCCTGATGGGGGGATTTATAGGGAGCCCAACCTAAAAGAAGTGGATTTAGGGCTTTGGGTTCGGGTGAGCATCATAGCTTTTCGCATCAAGCGCCCGGCCTTTGGGCGGGATGTCGCACACGGATGCCTTGATGTTGTTGGGGATCCACTCCTCGGATTTTTGGGGGGATTTCCCAAAAGAGGGGTGCCCTTTGTGTGTAAGTGTAGGGATATCGTATTCTCATGTATGTTAGTGGCAGAGGGGCCTTGGGAATACCCATCTAAGCCCGAAAGTCCAAAAGCCTGATAGAAGAATTACGTTGCAAGCACACGCGCTGAGGGTAACCAGCTTCTTGTATGGCTTCCTGGCACGAAGTCTGGTCCAACCAAGGCTCCACGAAGTAGGAGGAGTTCTTGTTTTGGACATTCAGCATCTGCTCATCCACCTGCAGGTATGTGCGGAAGAAATGGACTTCGCCCCACGATCTTCCCAAAAGTTCACACATGCATACTCTGGAGGTCCAGCCAGCAGTAAACACGGGGCTGTCGAAGTGAGATTGGTTGAGATGTTTCTGGGTTGGCCCCGTAAAGCAAGATGCTTAAACAAGGATCGTCAAGGTTCGCAGTTCGAAGCCTTAAATACCTTCAAAGCACAGAAAAAGCTCCTCTATATCTCAATCTGAAGGTTCAGCCGAATGCGATTAGAACCCTCAATCTTGAACGAGCCTCGGAACTTTCTACGTACACTCTCATTGCAGAGGGACTTGTCACAATATGTGGGGAAAAACTAAATGGCAGGGGCGGGGGGTGGGGGGCGGGGGAAAGGAAGATGGGCAATAAGCTGTGGGAACCCTTAGAGTTTCAGAGGCAGGATAGAAGGTGCCGAATTCCCTATTAAGAACTGGCAAGGAAGCCCAGGCCAAGAAGCCAGGAAGCCAGCTGTCTATCTGTACAGATACATACATACACATATATATATATATATATACATGAGTGTGTACTGTATATGCGAGTTTATTCACCCATTGTTACATCCTGTCATATGACCTGATATGGCATGCTACTACGATATGATATGACTTGCATGTTGCCTCCTTTCCGGAATAATTACACTAGCAGAAATGCCAAACAAACTCTGGGATCGGACATGGCCGTGCTAACCCTGAGAACAAACCCTCAACCCTCAAGTCTCGCCTCCTTCGTGGACATGCGGCCGCGGAAGAGGGCCGCAGCCGTGAGGTAGCGTCCGTGGCGGGGGTCCGCAGCGCACATCCTGGGATTTTTGGGGCACTTGAATGACGTGGGTTAACGGTTCAGGGTTTAGGGGTTCAGGGATCAAGGAATGCTGGGTACCTTGCGTCTTGAACTATCGGTTTTTGCTTGCCGTAGTGTCCAATCGAACCAAATCGCAAACAAAAATATTTGCCATCTCGTCGGAAGTCATGTTCTTGGCGTCGAACATTTGCTGAGTCAGTTCGGGCACCTGCGTCCCAGCACCACTTGTCAAGGCATAAAAACCGGTATAACGGATTATCATCAAAGACGAGAAGCAGGAGAATCCTAAAACCCTAAACCCTAAACCTGAAACCAAACAAGCTTGGGCACTGTCAGGGCCCTGTACTGCTGCGACCCGCGGGAGGTCAGCGGAGCAAAGCCCGTCATGAAGAAGTGCAAGCCTTTGCTTGTTTTTAGGGTTTAGGGTTTAGGGTTTAGGGTTTAGGGTTTAGGGTTTAGGGTTGTGATGCAGGAACTGTCCTTCCTAGCTCGGAACTCAGCATATCCTTCAAACACTAGCCAAGAGTGCTGGGCGAAATTCGGAGCGGAACCAAGTCCGACTTGCAAACCAGGCCACGCGGGAAAGGCACCAAGTTCACCGCGATTTTACGCAGATCGCAATTCAACCTCATCTTCAGCAAGTTAAAGGGATTCGGGCATAGGCTATGTCAAGCATGTGAAACATGCTCCGCAGAGAAAAGGCCAACGGCAACCGAGCAGCTGTCCCGGGAAGCGCAGGCAGCAGGTCACGCCGCTCATCGCCGCGGAGACCAAATGGTTCAGATCGCCGTACGTTGGCGTCGTCAGCTTCCTTTGTGGTACGTCAAAAGTGAACATGTCTGATCACATGCCCCAACTCTTCGAATGATGGTGACCAGGCGACACAAATGACCGACCAAGGTGGAACTTGCTAATCCAGAGCCAAGGCGCAGTGTCCGGAAGCAGATGTCGTAGAGTGCTTCGTTGTCCTCAGCAGAAAACTCACAAGAGGCTGATAAGGTTGACCTCATTTTGTGACCTGATGTGAGGGAATCCTCATCTTTTCTGATGCTAGGACTTGGCTGCCTACGCTGTTACAGAATTATTGATGACGCAGAGGAGGCTTCTCATCTACAGCTCGTCGGCTGAATGGGGGTTCACGTCTTAGCCCAAGACAAGTGTGTAATGGTAATTGACAAGCGGGTACTTAGTAAATGCGAGGGGCCATAGACTTAGGACGATGGAACTTGAAGCACCTGTGTCTGCATGTTTCAGCTTGATTCGGCTTCGGGTGCCAGATGTCTGGCTTCCACGTTTTGCGACCTTTCAGGACAGCATGCATCGAGTTTCATGGCTTGCAGGTTCGGCCAGGGGCCCGGGAGGCACCAAGGTACCCCAAGCTATCGTGGCATTCTGAACATGTTGGCACCGTAGGGTTGAGGGCTTAGAAAACAGAGGATCACGACGTGTCCTGTCGTTGGGCGACAAGTGGCCAGCAGGAAGGACTCATCGGAGTTCTCCACAAGCTGGTGGAAGCTCAAGACGGCATTGTACGGCTCGACCACGGTGTCGGAGACCTTCGGCGACGGGATCACGGAGAAGGTCTCCATGATGCGGTCCGGGTACCTTGAGGCGGTAAACTTCTTTTTGTAAGGCTTCGGGTACTCACCAGATGGTTCTTGGCTTTCGGGCTCTAGAGCTTTAGCTTTCTTCTGGTCGTGGATAGCAGAGACTTCGAGCAGTGCCGCGCTTCGCAGGACACAGCTCTCAAAGCAAGGGAAAGTGTGGAAGTTCAAAACACTCAAGGCCTGTTCTACGCTCTGGAACCCCCGAAACCGAAGCAGACACACTACAATCACTGCAACAGGTGAGTTCGTCAATCTAAAACGCTTAGTTCAGGGGATTCCTCTCAAACCCCACAACTCCCAAACAGGCGTCACCCTTCACTTACAGCAGCCGGCAGCCATCAGATGCAACCCAAAGGGCTCCTCGCGCACCTTCAGCAGGGCTTCGGAAACCCTCTTCTCAGCTTCAACCACTCGAACTCTTCGCGCGCTTGAGAGTTTGAAGGTTCAGGGCAAGTTCAGGGGAACCACCCTGGATTTGCTTCAGACCCAGGTTTAGCCTTACGGCTCATTTAGGGTCGGGGCTAGGCAATGCATTCGCAGCTTTCTTCCGGAGAGCGCACCTTGGAGATGAGCAGAGTTCCCATGCCGGCGCCGGTGCCTCCTCCCAAAGAGTGGCAGAGCTGGAAGCCCTGGAGGCAGTCGCAGCCTGCATAGCTCGTTTAGGGTTTTGGGTTTTGGGTTTGGGTTTGAACAGATGCTTGGAGGGTCTGAGAGGAATTGCAGGATATAGGCTTTCCTTCAGGGTTGCCATTGGGTCTCTGCATTCATTGGATTCATGTCTGGGCATTGTCTTAAATCGGGGTACCCGACTACACCAGGAGGAATCGCAGGTAAAAAAGCATCATCTGCAATTGCACTGTTCAGTTGTGCATCGACCGACGCCTTCAAACTTGCCGTTCTGTTATGCCACCACAAAATCGTACAAAATGCGCGGGTCGGCCTTCGGCCTCCTTGCGCACCACATCCAGCACCGAGTCGATGAGCTCTGCACCCTCAGCTAGCAAGGCTACGAGGTGTGCTTGGGCACTTCGCCGTCTAAAGCTTAAGCTGAAGATGGGGGGGGGGGGGGGGAGAGGGCAGGGGGAGGGCGGCACATGCGACCAGCCGCTCGGGGGACTTGCACACCTAGACTATGGGCGGCATGCCTTGCTGTTGCGATGTGATACCAGTATTCAGGGTTTGGGGCAGAACTCAGCGTGACTGAGCTCGCGGCTTCAGTGTAGTGACCTCAAGACACAGCGCACCAGCTCGAGCATACTGGCTTGTCACTGCCAGCGACGCTCACGGCCGAGCACCGGGCCCTTAGCCCAGTTGTTGCCGGCTCCTGCAGCAGCGTACACGTCTATGCGGCGAGATCGCTTCCGTGAGCTGTCCCAGGCGGCGGATATCGGCGAATTGTTCTGCCCTGTCCTGTCTGTCCGAAGACGAAGTTGTCTGGACGGAAGAGCTGGCCAAAAGGCCCGGCGCGAACGGAGTCCATGGTTCCTCAAAACAGCATGAGCTGCGCAGTCCGCAAGGCAGAGCAAGAACTGCTTGCGAGCGGTAAAGTAAAGCCCATGGCAAATCCCCGAGGCCTGGCTCAAGATCCATCAGGATCGCGCGGGGAACGTAGCGTCCTCCTGTCGCCTCGTTGAAGTACACCTCTGCTGTCCCACCACGATGGCCGGCAATCATTCGCCAGAGCTTAGAGAATGTTCCAAAGACCCTGTGCCCATGCAGCGCAGGCACGTTGATGCGTTCCAGTTGCAGATCGGAGTCTCCATGGTAGGTGCCTGCAACTGAATGAGCTACAGAGAGCCCAGGTCACAAAACCCAACTGAAAGCACTCTACGCCCGCAAGCCCTCAAGCTCAAACCTAGTGGCCCTCTCAGGCATGTTTTAGCGTTTCGTGGTCGTGCCGCAGGAATGTGACTTAGGAGGCTGGTAGTTTCAACCACCTGTCGGATCGATGCCGTGCTCGTCAGCGATCACCTACAGGCGTCTGACATCTTTCACGCACCAACATACTCCCGAGTAAACTAAAGAACACCGGCGTTCCCTACACTGCCGTCACACAATACCGCCGACACAGACGATCATCGGCCACAAGCAACGCCGGAAACGTTGCACGAGCACCAGCCTCCCAGAACTTGGCACCGATCTGGTTGCCGCCTGAGAGAGGGACCCCCCGATCCTCGGCCCCCCCCCCCGTCGCACAGGCTAAGGAAGAGGACCTGAGGGCCTGAGAACTGGAAGGAGAACCCGGAAGCTTTCCAACAAAACAACTCTACAAAACCCCGAAACCTGAGCTCACAAAGCGCCTTCACCCGCACTGTAGGGTCCAAAAACTCCGAGGCCCGGGACTTCACCGGTTCAGGGTGTAAGGTGCTGCTTGTTGTAGAGAGCTATGGCTTAAGGGCTTCGGGGTTTATGGGGTTTAGGGTTTAGGGTTTATGGTTTAGGGTTTCGGGCCAAGGCGCACTGACCACCCTGGACGTGCACGAGCTCACGCATGGCTGCAAAAAGCACAAAGCGGTTGCACGGAGGTCACTTGAGAACTGCCGAAAGCGCTGCGGTTAAGCACA